CTACATGCCACCAATGTGCAAATTAGATCTGTTAATAGCTTGGAAATATCGTTTAATTTACTACTCAAAGATATTTCACACATTTCCTCACATACTTGCCAGGTATTTGCTGATCAAGAGAAAGGATTTTCTTACAACATTGTCCTCCATCTTTTTGTACCTATGTACAGTCGTTTTAAAAATTATTTTACTCATTTAAAAGTATTTAATTAATTCAACAATTACTATGATCATTATTAAAATTTGAATTTTCAAAGTGGAGTTAAAACTCAATGTAATTATTTTTAAAATAAAATTAATTAATTTAGAAGAAAAAGTATTGAATGGTAATTTTGAAAGTAAATGAAAAAGTAAGATTATTTTCAAAGAGTACTGTATGTGTAAGGATATGTAAGGATGTATATATCCAACACGGTAGTCTACAATCTCCAAGCTAACTCGTGACTCACCGCCAGAAGATCCGGGAGGATGCTTCTTTCAAGCTAACAATGAGCTTCCATGTTACCTTACCAACATCAACATTAAACTAACTGAAAAAGGAGAAACAGTCGGATGTTAATGTTTATTAGATTTTACTTTTTATCTATTTATTTATTTTTGTTCATTTCAACGATTATATCTATTTTCATTGGAATTAACATTAATTTCACGTTTCGGTTGGTTCACCCACAAAATTATACATAATTACTGGTTATCAGGATGCAGCTGCTACTCTGGAATTTTGCGAGCCACAAAAACTCGAGTCCGTCATCTATACAAAACTTTCCAAAATTATATTCAATCTTTCAAGCCATTATATCTATTAATTTTTCATCGTGTCCTCTATAATTATTGTACAGTAATTTCTGTTTTAAGATTGAGAAAAAAAGTTAACATTCAATTAATATACTTCATGTATTCTTTAAAATAATGAAGAAAGATTAAAATTATAGAAAAAATAATGGGATAGAATAATAATACAAAATTATTCTAAAAAAGATAAATTAAAATTAAGTCAATTGGATGTTGAGATAATAATTATAATTTATAATGCATTTTTAATTTGAATTGTTTATTATTAATCGATTAATAAATATTTATTTAGCTATTACAAGCTTTGTGTAGCTATTTAAGGTAAGAAGACACAGAATAGAATAAAGTTACACGATTTTCGTTGGTGAAATTTATTTGTAATTGGAATATTGTTGTACTCGTGTTTAGTAGTCTTTGGAATGAAGCTCGTCGTGTTACAAGCCGCGTGAATGAAAATGCACGTTTGGAATCCGATACACGAGTTTCCAAGTCATCAAGGTGCCCATTGTTTCGCTCGTGAGGATCTTGATATCCGCGTTGTTGCGTAGGAACACAACAAAACACTCGTCTCGGCCTCATTGCATTCAGAATTGTAATGCGCGTCTCTCAGTGGCCTCTAAACTCATCTTCCCATTTCTCATTCCACGTTGTAATAATAATGTTGTGTTATTTCTTTTCATCTTTCTTTCTCTCTATATATATATATTTTATACAACATATATTTTCTTGTATTATTTTCCTCACGTCTTTCATCTGCTGTTATAAAAATCTTTCACATTATAATCCATCGTATTTTCTCATCACAAATCTATTTCAATAATCTTAGCAATTACTAATCTTGATCTCCTTGAAAAATAATTCCTTGGATACTTGAGCATTTAGTGTATCATTTCGAACATATGTATATTTCATCATTACAGATAATAATTTTAAAATATTTATTACAAATATAAACAATTTATGAAATTGATACATGACACATTGAGATTATTGTTGGATTGAATATATCAATCAGCTTTTAAATAACAAGCCTATCTTCTGATAAAATTTCACTCCACCCAAATATTTTCTACTCATTGATGATCACTTTTGTGTTTATTAAAAGCCAACGAGGGATAGATTACTCTAAAAAGCTTTTATAATGATTTTTGAAAATTAATTGAAATTTTATCTTTGGATCTGATTTAAAAAGGAAGAGTATATCAATAATCACTCTGTAAATAAAAATGGACTATTTATTTTTGATGAATTTTTGTCGTTGACAATAATGGTTAATTTGATCATTAAGAAACAAACAAACGATCTTTTTGATGTTCAATATGGCGTTTAATGGAAATAAAAGAGAATGAGGTAGAAAAAAAGAAGTATAATGGATTGACTTTGCACGTAGACACGAAATGTTTGAGGATGGATAAACAAACACGCCTAGACTGAGTATTATCGTGAAACAGTTATAGATAGTTGCATGGTCTGTTGCCGCGGCAACTGGTATCGTTTAATTAGTCACCTTCTGCTAATTACCCCGGTATGTCTACTCAGGGATAATAACTGCCCAATCGATTTAGCTCCTGTAATTATAAAATTCATTTGTAAATAGCAAGAAATTTTTTCGTATGAAATTAAGTAATGGCTTTGGTAGTGTTATCGATCGTTCAAGTTTTTAATGAGGATTCCGTTAAGGGCGAATGGTAGGGCAAAGTTATGCTATGAAATTTTAATGTGAGATCTTGAAATATTAAAGGAAATTTCTTTGTTGATAATTAATTCTTTTTTGATAGTATAAAATAAAAATGAGAAAAATAATAAAAACACGAGAGAGTGAAAATAATTGATAAAGTAATAATTTAATGTAATTCAAAAGAGAAATGATTGGTACGTTATACGATTGTATTATGAGCATGAGATAGGTAATAAAAGTATGAAAGAACATATATGGGGATGAGAACAAGTGATGGAGGGAAACTTGGACGGGAGATATGAGATTCGATGGAATTTTAACGCATTTGCTACCACCTCGTCGATATTGCGTCCACGTGCTTTGATGATCGATCGACCACTCTCTTGAGAATCCTGGCAATCTTTACGCTGGCCGAGTTTCACAATTTCGATGAAAAATCAAAAAGGTTGTCATCCTGATACAAGCATTTCTTGTTATGTTCTGCAAAAGGGGATCAAATAGGAAAAAAATACGAGAAAGGGAGAGTTGAGATATACGTGACTAAAAAACCGGAGATTCGTCTGAGAATCGAGGACAAGATATGCATCGAGCACACAGTGGACATCCTCCGGGGGAAATATCTGTCTTTGCTGTCCGTAGAGAATGGAAGACTGATGGGTCGAGACTCTGTTGAAAGGGGGATGGAAACTCTGGACGACAGAATAAAAAAAAACGAAGAAATGTAGATGAATAGAAAGAGTTGCGGCATGCAGAAGAAGGCATACGATAACGTCAAGAGGGCCTTTCCTGCGGATGATGAGTATTTTTCAAGCTCAAATAGAGACCATTACCTGGGGGAGTTGGAGCTGCTACACTGCAGAATATTAAATTGCATCAGACCATTTTTTTATTTCTATTCTCACTCGTGTATTCAAGTTTTATTTTTTAAATAATGAAATGGCTTTTGTATATAAAGATTGTTTTGAATTTTTTAAACGGCTATAAACAAAGTCGTGGTGAGAGTTATCTAATTTGAGTCTTCAACACGACTGCATCTAACAGCTTTGCAAAATGCTTTGAATATTTTATACCAAAATTAACAATTTTTTTCTTTTACTTGAGCTATTTTGAATTCTAATACAACAACGTTATTTTTTATTAATTGCTTTTTTATGGTAAAAATATGTTGGTTGTAAAAATTTATTTTTGTTTAAAAAATTAATGGGTATTTGGTAATAAGAAATGTATTGAAATGGTTGAAAAATAAATAAAATTCTCAAGTGATTTTTCAACAATGTGAGAGAATAGAGAATAGAGTAAGATGGAGATTGGGAATGCAAATGATACTCTAGTGATTTGAATCTTCTCGTCAATGGTCAGTGTAAACACCTTGTCCTCTCTCTCTCTCTTTCTCTCTTGTTTTCGCCATTCCGTTCGTTGCTCGCGTAATGGCCGATAACGGATAGTGTCGCTAATACGACTGGGGAATCGAAATAAACGAGGCCACACTGAGAGAACGAAGAGCACCACCAGCAGCCTGCGCTGATAGAGTGTGATGGATACGTCGTAATTAAAGTTTTATCTACGCCTCGATACCAACGCCACAATATCGAGAGTCACAAAATTTCTACTGCATCGAATTTTCATTCTGATAGACACTGCATAAAAATTCTAATTACTTTGCTGTAAAAAATATCGTTAAAAACAGCACGACGAAATATTATTGTTACTATCACATACGAAAGGAACGAATCATTTTTGGAAATAAAAATTTTTTATCTCCTCTACACACATACTCAACCATTAAATAAACAAATAGCTCTATTTGTTGCGAGAAAATAATGGCAACTTCAACCATCGTATTCTAGTCAGTTTTAACTACTTCTTGTTTCGATTACCTAGTTTCATTGAATAGAACACCACAAACAATCATTCAATAATAATTGTAAAAATATTTAAGATACTATTAAATAGATATTTATATTTTTAAAGTTTTATTGAGATAAAAATCTACAGAAAAATTTGAAATTTATTAGAGAAAGAAAAACATTTAATTGAAGATGAAATAAAAATACTTCATAGTGTGAAAAGTATTTTTTTTTTTTCAATGTAAGAAATACTTTTCACAAGTTGTATGAAGAAAAAAAATTTATTGTGAAATGTGAAGAGATTATTTGTCTTGATTACTTGAAAAAGGATATTTTTTTAGTGAATTGCACGTATCAGTTGAAATAATAATTTTTGTATTATTTAACAATTTTTCTTCATTCAAGTAATCTTTTCACCTGACGTTTTCATGAACAAAATTCATCGTGCATCACGCAATGCTTTTCTCTGGTGGTGGTCCTGCCGGGATCACTGCGGGAGTGTAGAGAATTTATATCGCGATTCGTAACAATACAAGACAGGCTGACGTCAAAATACTGTAACGTATTATGAGTGCTTTTCTGTTCTCTTATTTTTCTCCTCGAAAAGTACACTTCCAATATCTGTCTTTCTAACATTTATATGATACGTATGAGGTTATAAATGTGTTGTGTATGTTTTTCAGGATGCAGGGACTGAAATACAGGCTGGGGAGGAGGATCCTGCTGCTCCTGTTACTGGCCGTTTTACCCCTCGCTAACGGTGAGTCACTTTTCGCTGTATAATACTTACGGTGTCTACACCATACCCAAGCATACGTTTGGTATACAGACGAGGGAATGAAGCGAGGCCGCAACCCCTCGCACAATACCGACGCGTACGACCATAGACTCGACGACCACGGGGTAAGAGGCAATACGTGGTCGACGTCTCGCATACATACGTACGAGAATGAAATTTTCGGGGTTGTGGGATACATGAGACGGTGGCAAATATGGCGGCTGTGTCACAGGCCTTTATGCTATCCACGTGGACTAACCCCTCACATTCCGACGGAAATTAGTACTCTGTTGAATTTTAGATTTTCTGTTTATGAGATTTTTCGGTTTGATCTCCGGTAAAGTGTTCATTCTCACAAGCTAAATAGTCACTCTATTCTTCCCTAATGATTATCAACATTTTTTTATTATCTGTAATTGAAAAAATAAATTTACATTATGTTTACGTTTATTACTCAGATCGGTTTCGATAAAACAGTACTATTTTTTTTTATTTCTGCTTTAATTTATTGCAATTATTTCATCGTTTTATACTACTCAGTTATAGTTTTTTAAATAAATATTTTTTTTAATTAAAAAAATTGATCAATTTAAAGCTTGTCAATTTTTGAAAATTTTTTAAATCTTTTATTGAAAATAGTTTTTGATAGAAAAAAAAAAAAATTTAAGAGACGTACTTTAAAAATGTTTATTTGTTACTTTTATGGTAGGAAAGTATATCTGATGCATCTTTAAAAATTTCTCTCGAATTATTTGACAGATAGTTGGAGTGCATTTTATAGAATAGCATTCTCAAGCGAGTTTTTACTCTTAGAAAAATATATTTTTTGAATTTTTTTGCTGACTGATGCAAATTATAAAATTAGATTTAGGGAAAAAGAGAACTACTTTCTTTGACAACTTGTAGAATTGTTCTTTTGTATTTATTTTTTTCTTTTTTTTTTTTTTGTATTTGCACTAGTAACTTGAGCGTTTGAAATAAGAGGGGTTGGGTCGACACCGGGTGTTTTGGTCCTGCAACCACAAGAGACACGTGCACCCTCATTCGAACCTCTTATCTCCCATCCCTCGCGTTTCTTTAGACCGCATCCACCGGCGCTTAGTCCAAGATTTCATTCATTTCAATCTCCCATTCACACGTCCATTCATTTCAATGTGCACTTACCTGTCATTTTATTGAATTTTTACTCAAGTATACTTGCTTTCTACTCATTCATTTAGTGAATTACCGATGTTGATGCATCTAAAATTGATATGCTTTTCAACTGATTAAAATTTATTTATCAATTTTTTATTCTTCACAAACTTTAGCAATTCAGTGATAATGAGGTTATTTTTCATATCTATTTTTGCTCAAAAAACTTTTTGCACAAAAAAGTATGAAAAGTTATTTCGATAAACAAAATTTTGATGTAAATAAAATGATGAAAAAATTGATTTACTTATTTTAGGTCATTGAAAATAGTAAAAAATTCATGAATTCAATGTAGTAAATAAATAAAGATCTCATGTAAAATTCAAAAGCTCATTTCATTGATGAAACAAATTTGTTAAAGACACAAAACAAATCGTCGACGTTTATGCTTGACATTGCAGGACGCAAATCGGTTTTTGGGGAATGATTATATGCCTATCTACACCGTACAGTCTTCTTTTTTTTTCTCTTTACTGAAGGGTGACTGATGGTCACCCTCCAGGCTTTCACGCAAATAAGGGCGATCTCTTTGGGATCATGAAACCTCCAACGACTTAGACTACGTTACAAAATGTATATCGGTGTGTGAGAAATTCAAGGTGCTGAGCCGTTTAGTTTTCGATCCAAAGGTTATCCCCCAAATCGATCCTTCAACCCTCGTGCACTTCTCATCCCTTTCTCTCATCCCCTTGTACCTAACGATACCACCGTCTAGCACGATCTACTTATCTCCGTGAAAGGAGAGCACCGATAACTTTAAACGAGAACAAAAACCGGAAACCAATAACGTAAATCTTGAGAGAATGGCTTGGGGTGACCTAGTACTATTGCAGTCGACATGAAAATGTTTCCCGAGATAGTATTCCATCGATTGCTCCTTTACAAACTCACATCTAATGTGATGGATTTTTATTTGCGTCAATTCATTAATCTTCATAAACATTGACCCATCATATCCGTCATAGTAATGAACCATAGTCCACCTTATGGAGATCATTTTCATACGAAAATATGATTGAGTTATTTGCGGAGATTAATTTATCAAATTGAATATTAGTGAGATGAAGCATATCTCTTATAATCACATTTGCTGAGATACTAATAATCAAGTATGAACAAACTTCTATTACGTATCGTCGCGTTGATAATGATAATAATAAATCGTTGCATGTACCAAACTAAATTAATAACAAGTCATATTTTGTCTCATGAACCTGAGTTTTGTTTCAATAAATCGTTTATTGCTGGTGCACACGAAACGCGAAGTTGGGCGTTAGAATCGTGGCAAACAAAACCCCCAAGGGGTACATGGTAGTTTGTGCTACAACGTCTTTGTGCAAGACAATACGATGGGCGATGTCTTTGAAATTTCTATTACCAACTTGAGCAATTAAATATAAATCATTTTAGATGATAAAAAAAATGAAGTCATATAAGTAATGATTATTCTTATTAAATAAATTTAATTTAATTAAAAAGATATATTTTCATCTTTTTATAAATTTACTTTCATGGATTCGTTAAAAATTGCCAGTTGATTGCTTTATCTAGTGATTTTTCCTACCATACTCGAAGTTCTCCGGAAATGAGTGAGGATGAGGGAGAACGAGAAAAATTCTCCCGGGAAATTTGGATCCAACGCTTCCGCCGGAAACTAGAGGATTGGCATGGAAATTGTGATTATCAAAGGATAAAAAATTTTTTGAAAAAATCATAAAAAAAAAAACTTTTCCATTCAATCTTTTCAATTCAGTTCTTTTTTTTTTTCTCCAATTATTAATTAAACTTTTTAAATTTATTACCGATAGATAATTTGCTTGAAATTAGAGCTCCATATAATTATATTTATAGAAGTAAAAAATTAATAGACGACTTCATTTTATTTTTCAATTAGATTATGACATTATTTAATTCGAATCAGAAATTTTAATGATGTATGATTGGAATGAAAATTTTTTATATTACCAATCTAGATTCATGCGTTGATTTATTATTCAAAAAAGTTATCATATCTTCACGGAAACAATTTTCTAGGAATTTTTACTAGTCAATTTAGAGTAAAATTTATTAGCTAAAACATTCATAGTTACTTGTTTTTTCTTAGTAAAAATAGCTATAAATTTTGAAATTTACTTTTTATTTAATATTCAATGTACTAAATAGTATTGTATGAGTATTCTTAATTGATTTATTAAATAGAAAGTGAATTTACAAATTCTTTCCTATAAATATGTACTGGAAAAAACTAGTAATTTTTAATTGTTTTGACTAGTAACTTTTACTCTAAATTGACAAGTAAAAATTCCTATAAATTTTTTTCCATGTTCGATTTAGTATTAAAATGAAATACCAATCTAATTTATTTATCTTCAGAAATGTCTTCAATTGAATTTAAAATGTTCCTCTAAAAAATTCCATTCACTGTTTGTAATGCCAGGATTAAAATTAATATTTCAATGATTCAGTTGTGGATAACACATTGATTAATAACCGAGAATAATGTATGATAATACAGTGGAGACAATAGTAGTATGTATCTGAATCATTTGAGGAAATCCTGTGTAGGTCTAATAATGACGGTCATTTGACAACGAGACAGTTGAGTATGGATTTTAATGGGTTTCACGGTTGACCTTTTACCTCCCTCTATACCATGCATACAACTTAGACACGTGTCGTCAATCGTATATTGTAAGTTTGTATCGAGTGCCTTTAGTAAGTTCATAAAACTTGAACAGTAGCGGAAAGATTGTCATTTTGTCCCCTTTGGAATAAATTACATGTCGTTTGGAGAAATAAATCTGTAGCTATTGCTACTTTCACTTGGTTTACTTTGTCCTCAGAATCTAAAACAGGGTGAATCATCTAGGTAATTTTTCTCCAGACGAATGCACTTTTTGTATCATGTGATATGTAAGGTGTAAAAAAAAAATATAAAAAATAAAAAAAAAGGAGACCGTGAGATGCCTTTGGGATAGACGGATGAGAACGTGGATACGGGAATGGTAGGACGAACACAAGGGCCATGGGGACGTCGACAGAATTACTAATATCGTTCCCTCCCTTCTTCCTTCATTTCTCTCAACTCTGTATGTAGTATGTTCTCTCCGCTTCACGTGTTCCTCTTACTCTCTTTGGTCTCTCTTACCCTCTTACCACTACCATTACTACTACTACTACTACCTTTCATGCTATAGAAATACACCGGGAAACTCGAGCGATCCATGTGGAAATGAGAGACGACTCTGAGATGATGGACAAGACAACGAAAATGCTAATTTCTAACTGAATTTCCAACCAAATTGATTTCCCTCCAATGTGTTATCAAAGCTAAATAATATATACGGAATAGTCAATTGTGTTATCGTTAACTCCTCCTTTTTATTCAAAGTCAACTTGTTTTAAATACATCATGTCAAAGAAATTATTCGAAATTTCATTTATTTCAAAGGATTCATGCGCCACACATTTAATATAAATAGCAAACAAATATACAAATAGTTTTTGATTTATTTAATTAATAAATAATGAAAAAATGATTTCGTGACATGTGAAGTTTTATTTTCTTGATGAAATATTTATTCAGTATTTAACTGTCATTAAATTTTCCAAGTGATTTATCATCTGGATTTCTTTGGGATTAGGATAATTTAATATAGTTTTATTAGTGTACAAAGACTTGAGTTCACGGACCTTTCCCACGCTGTAGTCGCAATCGTATTTATTTGGATGTCAATGAATAACATTTAAAAGGCAGGGGAATGAGAGGGATGGTCAGAGAGACAGAA